AAAAAAAACCTAATAAAATGTAATAATTTAAAAAAAATATAAAGATGATAATTAAGCAAGAAAAAAAAAACAGAAAAAAAACCAAAAACAAACTTAGTCTTTGGAAAACTATGTTGTTGTTGTTGTTATGTGCCGTCGAGTTGCTTGCAACTCATAGGGACCCTGTGTACAACAGCCCTAAACCCTGCTCTATCCCTTGCCAATCTCAGTTTCCAACACACCTAGTCCCGTTACCCCAATCACTGAATCAATCCATCTCAAAGAGGGTCTTCCTCTCCTGTGCTGTCCCTCCACCCTCCCAAGCATGACGGCCCTCTCCAAGGACTGGTCCCTCCTTGAAACATGTCCAAAGTATGTCAGGCGAAGCTTCAGAATCCTTGCCTCCAAGGGGTAGCCTGGCTTTACCCTCTCTAGGATGAACTTGTTTGTTCTTCTAGCAGTCCCTGGTATATTCAATACTCTTCTCCAGTACCACAGCTCAAAGGCATCAATTCTCCTTCCTATATTCCTAGTCATTGTCCAGCTCTCTGAAGCATAGCAAGTAATGGCAAAGACCATGGCCTGTATCAGACACTCGTTAGTCTCCAGACTGCCATCTAGAGGGAAGTATAAATATATCCTTTGGGTTGCTTGAAATGAACCTTGACTTGATAGAAGTTGATTCTGGGGTTTCGGTTTATAAATGGAATCTAGTCAATCTGAGTGCTGAGAACATGGTTTTACAAATCACTTGACTAGATGGGAGGCTGTCCAAAGTTGCCTCTGATGGCCTGGGGTGGGTGTGGGTGTTACAAAGTCCTGGCAGTTACATAGTACAAAGGAAGCCAAATCCTTCTAGTTCCTAAATTCTAGTACGGAGTTTGCTTTTCTTTGTAGGAGGTCAGATTGTATCTGTTATAGAGTGAGAATGTTTTTCTTGGACCCAGAGGTTTGGCTTGAGCATTTTCTGGATCATATTGCAGAAGGCTATGCTCCAATGGACACCACCCCCCAAATAGCTCATGCTTTGGGAGTGCTGTCAGGAGGTGCCAGTCCTCAAAGTCATGCTGGAAAGGTGAGGGGCCAGAGAAAGAGAAGCCCCTTAAAAAGATGGATTAACTTAGTGAATGCTACTATGGTCTTGTTGGAGTGTGTGAGGAGGCAAAGATCAGCTCGATTGTTCATAAAGTCATGAAGAATTGTAGATTTGATGGCATTCAATATGCTCCAACTGGCTCATTTGCTCAAACTGCATTTGCTCAATTGCACTCCTGTTTTATCAAATGCCTTTTAGGGGCTTTACTTCTTCTCCTGTCCTGTACTGTGAGATCCCACACCAATTTAACTAGGCGAGGGTTATAGCCACTGTCAGCATACTGCCTGTAGTCTTTCTTGGGTCAATACACCACATTGCTGGCACTTGAGGTCCTAATCCCAGGAAGGCAGGTAGGGGTAACCAGCAGTCTCCCTGTTCTCAGGAAGACATTTCCTTTACTTCTATGGGATTATTAGTCCCACCATATAGTCCAAACTGACCTAACCAGGTCTCCAAAGCAGGGCCAAGAAGAAAGAACTTGGGAGGAGCAGAGAGAGACAAGTATCAAGTGTCAAGAGAGTAGGACAGCTTGCATTTAGGAGGCAAAGCAGGCCTGGCTGGGAGCAGTGAAGGCTAGGTCTGCGGGAAGCTCCCTGTTAACACTCCAGCTGTGGACCAGGAGGTTGGAGCTGATATGACTTTTCTTCTAATCTACCTTGTCAGTCCTTGTGAGGTTTGGCTGGGAGTCCTGCCTGTGTTTAAAAGGTCTTGTCAAGACTGGATCAGGGGAGCTGAGCGTCTGGAGGTGGCTGAGGAGGCGGAAAGGTGGCAGTGGTTGAAGAGGTAACGGTCTGAGTGAGTGCGACAGCGATGTTGATGGCTGTGAAGAACGGCCCATGGCCCTGGTGGCGGGGTAGGTGGTAGGGGTGGAAGTCAAGAGACAGGCAGCCCCAGAGGTGTGGTGTCTCCAGGTGCTGGAGTTGGCTGGCTACAGCCAGGGTGGGAACCGCCACTACTTTTGAGTGTGTCCAGTGCAGGATCACCTACGTGGATATCACCACAGGCATCTTCGCCTGCATCACCTGCTCCAGCCTCGTCTGACGTTTGACGATTCAAATGTTGCTATTGAGTGGACTCTTAACCCCTAGCGACCCACAACAAATTGGAACTTTGACCTATACTGTGCCATCCTCATCATCTGACATACTCAAGCCTAGTGCTGCAGTTACTTTGTCACTCCACCTGGTTGAAGGTCTTGCTCTCCAGCTGACCTTCCATCTTTCCAAGCATGATGTCGCCCCCCTCCCCCCCAAAGAACAGCTTCTTCTGGCAACAGGGCCAAAGTATATGAGATGAAGCTTCGTCATTTTTGCCTCCAAGGAGCACTTTCTCCAAGAAATATTTTTACACCCTTAATAAAGTACAATCTAATTTACAAAAAAAAAAAAAGAATGCATACTAGTCTGTGGATGACTAAAGGCCATTTCTGATGTTAAATATCTATGAAGGGCTTTGAAGAGAACAACCAATCCTTAAGTGTTTCTCATTTCAAATGACTAAACCCTTTTATAGCAAGACTTCAAAGATAAAAGATGAAAATACTAAATGAAACACCTTTTTTTTAAAAAAAAAAAAACCAAAAAACAAAAAACAAACTAGCAAATGAGAAAGAAAACCAGCCCAGTTTCAGCTAGTTAGGTGAATAACGCAGTGAACGACAGGGGTGGCTGCTGCTCATGACAGAGTCCTTCATCCTTTTCTTCTTAACCATTTTGGTGGCCCCGTGTGGAACTTCAGGCGACAGTGTCAAGTGCTCAGATTATTAGGCAGGCAGCAATCATCGCCAAAGCTCTTCCTGAGAATCTCTGCCCCACATCAATCACTTACAGGCAGCTGTGGCAAAGGGACACCACACATTGGACTTGGGAGACAGAAAATCCAGCTTCTCATACCTCTACATTTTGTGGCTCTAAGGCCTGGGAAAGGCACTGTATCTTTCTGAACGCTCAATTTCCTCATGTATAAAAGAGGATAGTAAATGCCATATGTTGTTGTTAGGTTCTGTCGAGTCGTAGATGACTCACAGTGACCTTCTGAATGAAAGACCTGAATGCTTGTATAACTTTGTTTCTCCATGTACATAGTTTCTGGAGGCAAGCTATTTCCAAAGTGGATGCCACTCCTGCTTCCAAGCTTGTTTTTATCAGGGAGCTCCAAACTCTGTCCACCATGGGTAACCATTATTGTATTTGACACATTAGTGTCATATAGTGTCTTTTTTGTATAATTAACACACTACTGCTCCAGACTACTTCCAATCCTGATTCCAGCCCCACACTGCTGACCAAATGCATTTTTAAACAGGAGGCCAAATAAAATCATATCACACCCAATAGTGAGTAAACATTCCACTCTAATCCTCACCAGAACCAGAAAACAAAACTTCTGTAAAATCTGGCTGCTCCAGACAACTTCCAACCTGGATTCCAGCCCATATACCACATATATTTTTGTGTGGACTGCATAAAAATGTATGTAAAAGTTTTCTGTGCTTGATACATAATATACCATCACCCCTCAACACCAATGTAATAAAACCAATATATAGAGGTAACATTTAAAAAATTGCTGTATTCAAAATAATAAACTTTTGGGTAAATAAGTTTTAAAACAAAAGTACATAGACAAAAATAAATAATTTAGACCAACCCATTAGCCTAATATGAGTAAAACCATTTCTAATTATAGCACTGTTATCCTGGGACCAGTCTGTGGTCAAACTATCATAGTTCATTATTTTAAAAAAACAGTAACAAAAAAATGGAACACTAAGTAAAATCTTTAACAGAACCAGAGCACTGGATTTAACGTTTTAATTTTAAATAACCAAAACTTGTCATTTTATACATTATCCAATGTAATGCTAGTATAACTAGCATTTAATTTTGTAGAGTTGGTACTTAATATAGGAATGGGAAACCATAAATGCATAGTCTTCAACTGTGAGATACAAATAAAAATGGACAAGTATACAGTAGAACAAAAACTGCAGACACTCTATTATCTGAGGGAAATATCTGAAGGCTTTACATTCTTTATTATCCATGATGGCTTTTGGAATTATGATTGTTTGATGTATAGAACCCTTGACATTTCACAGTTAAGTTAAAAATCCATCATAATACTCCATAAAACTGCAGTGGTCTTACATGTAGACTCCAGGAGTTTGTAAGCTGATAGAAGAGTAACATGAAAATTTACTGCAGTGCCCTAATTTCATACTTCCCATACACATTCCATTTGGGAATCTATTCAAAGAGTTATATACACAAAAGTGTGGAGAGTAAAATGTTCTCCATTCTTGTGTAAAAATGTGTACAGTACATCAGGGAATGGAAAAATTCTAATTTTCCGGGGCCGGGCATCGTGGATCTCTGCTGCCAGAAGACGAAAGACTCCTCCTGCTTTATTGCTCTTTTGTTCTGAGGATTAATCATCCAACCCTGGCGTTTCTCCCTGTTGGATCCTGGATGCTATTCTGATGGCTTCTTCCAAAGATGGCTGTTCTCCAAGCTGAAACAGAATAGAAACATAAATCCAACACAGTGAAGATAGGGACAAATCTCTGTAAATTCTTGCTGTAATTCTGATGGTCATCTAATTATTAATGATGATGCCAATGTAATTATTAAAATACAAAGATACCTGCAGAGAATAGTACTGTTTCTTTATTTGGGATTTTTATAAACTCTTCACACATGTAAGAGAAAAAAAATTACTAAAAAAAAAGACAAATGATACTCACTAGGACTAATGGAAATAAGCATTTGGGACACTTCCTGAGTCTTCTCCTTTTGTATATGTAAACTAAGTAAAACCAACTGTTGGCATTTTCCTGAGTGTATTCTCACCTAATTCATTTATTAGTAAACCATGAAAAAAATTCTCCAAAAGGAGAGGTGATTATAAGTGCCTATAAATAATCTTCACCAAACATCTAGGATTCTGGGTGTTTGGGTTTTTTTTTAATTTTTGTGTGTATGTACTGTCAAATAGGATCTGGCTGGTTCAGGAGGAGAGATCTCCTCCTTCTCCAGCAAAGCATTTGGTGGATTCACACCTCGTACCTCTGGGACTGCAGTACAGCTTCTTACCACTAGGCCACCAGAGCTCCCTTAGGATTCTGATTTTCTATTTAAAACCAATGATGCTGCCCAGAGAGTACAACTTTCTAGTTTCTTGACATTCCCCATTGTACAAATGAACTGTACAGGGATTCTAGGCCAACTAATTTAGAGTCTATGGTTACACTAGGTTTTCCCCCTCAAGGAGTTGTTTCTTAACTGCTTTACAGGATCTTGCTAATCCCAGCCCTTTTAGAGTAAATGTGGCTGTGTAGGTACACAAAAGGATGCATACATTTAGGTTTTTGTTCTTGCTACAAATTCCTCTAGAATATGAAAAAAATAAGAGGACAAAATGTTAAGTCTCTAAGGAAAACCTAAAATACAGGTATTTCCTTAAAGCAGTTTAGATAACACAGATAATTTCATGTCATGTTGCATGTAAAGGCTGTACAAAAAGAACAGTGTATGAGGTTGAAAACTGAGTGACAATGCAGTTGACTGAGGACATTGTCCCTATACTCACCTGTACTGCAATCTGGGTGCCATTGGATGTCGCCACTAGGGTCAGAGGTCTGGTTTCTGTGGTTACTAGGTGATGGCTATGCTGCTGGTGTCCTATTTCTGATGAGGCAGTATGGAATGCTGCTAAATCCTGAGCCACAATTGCAACCTTAAGCAAAATAAAAAAATGTATGAAGGATTAGGTATATGATTTAAATAGATTAAAAACCATTTAACAGGAAAGAATGTACTCAAATTAAAAAGAGCATACACACAAGAACACACATGCAGCAACAACAACAACCCCCTCCCCTTTTTTGACTACAGATATGTAGAGGCTAACTACAGAAGAGGCCTAATATAATGTCTAATTTGGACTCCGCTTGCTCTCATTTGAGAGAAATTAAAGCTCTGAGAAAAGGGAGGTGGTAGAGATCACTGGACAAGGAGATGTGCAATACCAGACTCCTTTAGCCAGGAGAGACTAGGCTGAACAAATTACATTTTATCTGTTTATTACTAATGGTGGGTTAGATACTATTTTCTCTTGGATTTCTTTTTAAATTCAGAATTCATATTAACCAGGAAAAATAGAATGGTCCAGTAAGCAGTATTAATGACAAGCAGTAACTTTTACAGTATTCATTTCCCATGTTAAATTCCAAGAAATCCTTTCATATTCTTTCTGCAGCATCTAGCCAGAAGAGTTAAAAGAGTTTTAGTGGTTTATAAACTACAAATGTTTCTTGTTCATGAATCTACTAGTAATGTTACTTTTTTTGTCTTTAGAAAGCCAATTTGTTTTCTTACAGTTCAAGAGGCTTGTTTTACGGTGCATATCATTCACTGGAATCAATTCATGCTGACCTCCCAGCAGGTTTTCAGAGACACTGAGTCACATGGGAGGTGACTGCCCCCATCTTTCTCCCATGGAGCAGCTGGTGGATTTGAACCATGTGCCTATCTCTGTGCTGACACCTCCACTCTTTACCCTAAGCCACCACAGCTCCTGAATTCAGTGAGCAGGTCCAGGGAGAGCCCTTTGTTTCATCCAGCTTCTGTTGTTAAGCGCCTTCAAATTCATTTTAACTCAAAGGAACCCTCTGAAAACAGGATCTGAATCTTGCCCTATCCTTTGCCATCCTTATCATCTCTAATATGCTCATGCCCATGGTTACAGTCTCTGTGTTTAAATGAATATATTTACTATGAGGGAGGTCTGGCAGCCTAGTGTGTAAAGAGCTGCACTGCCAATCCAAAGGCAAGCATTCTGAAGCCATCAGCTGCTCTGTGGAAGACAGGCAATCTCTTTCCATGCAATTTACTGCCTCTGAAAACCTGCAGGAAGGTAGGTTACAAGTTGGTTTGACTGAACAGTAATGAGTTTGAGTGAATTTATATTTGAGATGGCAAATTCCAATTATAGTCCATAATTTAGTAACAAAAATATATTTCAGTACAGTGATAATTAAAAAACATACAGTAGAATAATTCTCCTGCAGACAACAATGACAAACTCTGAAGAAAACCCAGGGAAAATTAAGTATTTGAAGGCACTAGAGTGTGACCAAAATCAGGTAAGAACTGGAGGGGTTTCTTGAAAGAAAAGAATAATAATGGGTTACATCCATCTCTACAGACATTTTTTTTCTTCCTCTCTCTTCACTGAGTGTTATTTGTAAAAGATCTGACCTGTTCATATTTCTGGAGAAACTTTAGTCTCCTACTCTATAGTAACCTTAGGCAGTGTGTTCACATTACCATTTTTTGTTTTAAAAAGCAAGATAACTATATATTTTACTTACTTGTAAAGGCTTAAGAATCATTGAAAAAATATATAAGAAACTAATAAAAGTGGATTATTTATGGGGTTAAGTAAGTTGATGGAGAAAAGACTTTTTGGAGATCCAAGTTGGCGGCAGAGGCGGAGACAATGTGGTGAGCTGCGGGAGCAGCGGACCACTTGGAGCAGGGCCACTATGGCCTTCTACAGACCTCTGTTTATTGATAATTGAAGAGTTAAACAGTTGAGAAAAGACTTTTCTATATAAGGTTTTGGTGTTTTTTTAAATGGATGCTTCACAAATTTGTGTGTCATCCTTGTTCAGGGCCGTGCTAATCCTTTCTGTATCTTTCCAATTTTAGCACATATGATGCTGAAGCAAACACCCACACGGTTTTTGATTGTTGAACCAAGTAACTATATTACGTATTCAAAATGCTACATAAAGTAAATCCTGCTGGAGGGTCGGCTAGGAGTTGGTTTTGATGCAGACACAGAACAAATAAATGATGAAAAACTCAGGTTAAACAGGATTAGCAACTAAGAAGTTATAAAGCTGGAATTCAATCTGAGGATCATGTGCTTAACTAATATGCTGTATATCTTGTTTTTAACCAATCTGGTGTACACTGTATATCTATGAAACAGTTTTGACATATAGATTGATAGATAATCTGGAAAAATGAGTTACCTGCTGGCCTTCCGTACCCTCAGCGGTAACCATGGCAACAGAGTGTGTTCCTGCTGAAGAGATAACTGCGTCATGAGCAGGGACTGTGATGGGCGTGCCATCTTGCGTTACCATAGTAATAGTATTGCCAATGGCTTGCATGTCAGCTTGAGATATATTGACCTGCAACAGAATGCATTTTACAATTAAGTCAGTATTTCCTGTTACATGTGTCAATCTTTACTATGGACTGGGCCTAATCTTTGTATAAATACACTCCATGAGATCCAATAAACTCTTTCAGGTCCTCAGAAAAATAGAGTATTTCTTAAATGCATCTCCTTCTTTCTATACCAACTATTAATTTGGACTCTTATTTTCCTCTCCTCTGAATTAAGTACTCTAATTGCTGAATTAATCTGAATGAATTAAATCTAGTTGTCTAGCCCAGGGTCTCCATAACCATCACTCAATCTTGCTGCCTTTTTTTACACATGTACATGTGTCTTCCTGCTTAAATCTTCACTAGTTACCTCATCTTCAGCTCAGACTTCTTACATGTTTGTTTTCTTCCTCATGATTTGGCTTCTACCCTTTCTCTAAACTCATCTTCCATTATTTCCAAAGCAGCATTATGCACTTCAATCATGACCAGTCATTTGCATATTGTTAAAATTTCATGACTTTGCCTTTCCATTGACTCCGCCTAGTGAGCTCATGAAAATTCTTCCAGACCCAACTGACATTCTCAACGAAGCAGTCAAGAATCCTTCAGTAGGGAGCGCTGGTGGCCTAGTGGCAAGGAGCTGCAACTACAATCCCAGAGGCACATGGTTCGAATCCACCAAATGCTCTGCCGGGAAAATGAGGGACAATCTCCTCCTGTACCAGTCAGATCTGATTTGACGGTACACTCACACACACACACACACACACACACAAAAAAAAAAAAGAATCCTTCAGTAAACATCATTTCTTCTGGGCTGCCATTGTTGTTTATCTCTGAGTCAGAACCAACTCATAGCTGACCCTCCAGTGGGTTTTCAGGGACATTAATCACACTGGAGGAGACTGCCCATCCTTTTCCCACAGAGCCACTAGTGGATTGGAACTGTGTATTTGGTAGATTTGAACCAAATGGCTTTGGGATCGCAGTACAGACAGAGCTCCCTTCTATGAATAATACCATATCACTCACAACATTATACTTTAGGACAGAACTTGAAATTGTCTTTTTAACTATGAATGCAGCACCATTCTTACTGTTTTTCATTCCCAGCATGGTATACCATGTGGTTGTCTTAATCTTATACTTGGGTCGTTGTTATTTTGTGTTTTTTTTTTTTTTGAGAAAGCATCATTCAAGTAATAAATTTTCTTTCCTACAAGATGGTAAGATTGCCTTCCCTTGACTTTTCTACCAAATGTCAGGCATGTAGCAGATGCTTCAATAAGGGTTCAATAGTTTCACTGATTAAATAAATGGAATGGAATCTAATTTCTCAAGAAAATGGGAAAGTTTAGGGGAAATGTGACACTGAGATAGAGAAGCCATGAAGAGGAGAGTACACTCATTCTGAACAGTCAGGGGAACCATGAGTGTATGATACAGAGGTAGGTTGCAGACTGGTAAATACTAAAATGATTTAAGAAAAAAATAGTCTGCCTCTTAAGAAAGATATGGCCTCATCATTTAGGATACTGCAAGGGATGCTGAATTAAAATTGGATCTGTATGTTGTGAAAAATGAGTACCATGTAGAATTCAACAAATCAACCCATTGCTAGGAAATCAGAAATGACTCACAGCTGACCCTCCTGCAGGTTTTCAGAGACTAGAAACTGCACAAGAGGGGATTGTCCATCTCCCTCCAGCAGAATATCAGGTAAATTCAAATGGGTTGCCTTTGGGTCTGCAACGCAACTCCTTATCCACTAGGCCACCAGAGCACCTCACCATGCAGAATTAGTGATGCCCAAATTGGGGGAGGAATAAAAAGGATGAAAATTTGTTGTATTTTCCTAATCTTTAATATATTCTGTCTCCCAGACAACATCAGCATGTTGATAGTCACCAAAATAAAGAACAAATTAATTGTACTATACAAAAATAACACACGCATTATAAGATTTTATAAACTGCATATCATAAACATATTTCTGCATATTGTAAAACCAAAAGTTATTTTTCTAAGTGTTATACCAATGTGGTTTTTTTTTCATACATTATTAACTTTAGTTTCACTTGTTTTATTCAGTCCAACAAGCTAAAACTAATCACACGGAAAGTTCATTTAAGGCAGATCTTTGCCCCAAATAAGTCGAGGTTCAGAGAGGTACTGCTGAATTCACTTGGCTTTTAGTGACTACTTACATGCTGTGTCCCATCCTGGGATATGAGTGTAACTTGCTGACTCAACCCAGACTGGGTTACTGTGGCTACTTGTGCAGACACAACATCCTCTCCTTCTACACCTGTAACATATGTGATCTGGGGCCCTTTAAGAACATCTTCACCTTGACCTGGTTTAAAAAAAAAAAGAATCATTTATTTGGTTAACTAATAAGCTTTTAAAAAGAGATGATATTTTAAATATTAAAGATAAAATAATATAAATTAAATGTATATGCATTATATTTTAAATAATGAAAATAGCTCCAAGCATCTCTTTCACAACTCCCTCTACCTCCCCACAAAGTCAAGTTAGATCCATCATCAAATCTTTTCATTCTGGAAAAATGCTTATGTTCTCTCAGTTGGAGTGATTTTATGATACTGTGGTGTTTGTCAAGGCCAAGAAGGGGAAGAATGGTACAAGAAGAATGGCAAAGAGCTTACCCCAAAAGATAAGTATGAACTAAAGTCTTGCATTCATTTAAAGAGATTTTAAAAGTGATAAACTTCATAAACATTAACCACAAAACTTGAATGGTTTGTAGATACAGCCTGCAGTACTAAAATACTTAGTCTTTAACTCAAGCAATTCCAAGCCATTAGTACACAATGACATCATTGTGCAAAGACAATGCAATGTCATATAATCAGGGGTAATGTTAATCATTATACTAGCAACAGAACAGAAACTCCCACAAGGTCTATACTTTATAAAGAACTAGCAAGTAAACAGCAATTTCACAGTCCATTTCTCTTATACTTGGCAACCAGGAGGATTAGTAATCTCTCCAAATACGTTTTCCCTCTTTTCCAAAGTAGGACCTGATATGCACATTCAAGAGCATTTCTCAAAGTCAGCGGCTAACATGACATATGCTTTAAATGGTGTAATTTCCATAATAATTATTTCATGTCTTTTTGTTCGACTCCAAACTATGTACCTTTACTCCAATGAAACAGAAAAGCCAAGGGATCCCGTGAGAAAAAAAGAAAACAAATGTATTTATTTCTTTACTGGATAAAGAATCTTAGTTTCACTTTCTTCCTTTTTAAAAAATAAAATATATTTTCTCTCTCTCTTATGCACACACACATAGCCCCCCCCCCCCGCCCCTTCAAAAGAGTTAGCATTTAAGAAGAGACTGGGGAAGATTAGAAAAGGAAAACTTATTATAAGACTGAAAATGCCTACTTCCTAATGGAAAACATTTAGCATTTCTTGTAATATCTAGCCATATACTATTTTCAGTGTTATGATTAAAAACAGAATGTTGTTGTTGTTATGTGCCATCGAGTCATTTGCGACTCATAGCGACCCTATGCACAACAGCCCTAA